ATTCAATAATAGCTTCTTCACTAGCTTTTACAGATGAAGGATCATAATTAATTAAATACAATCCTTCTAGAGATGTTACTCGAGACAATGCAACATAAATTTGACCAGGATTGAAAATAGAATTGCCTACATCTATTATAGCGTTCTTCAATCTCAATCCTTGGCTCTTATGAATAGTAATTCCATAACTCAAAGACAATGGAAATTGTTTTCTAATAACATACGCTCTTTCAATTACACAAAATTTAACACTTACTCTCTCAATTNAAACTTCTTTACTTGACGGCAAAAGAAGATTTATTTTTTCTACATTTTCACTTGATATATCCTTAACAACAGAAATTACTTTAGCTATTGTACCATTTACAAGACCTTTGCTAACATCAATATTACGTCTTATCATAACNTTTGCTCCAATTTTAATATCAATTCTCTTTGCAAGTCCGGCTATTCTTGAAGTATCATCTTCATGATTTGACAATAGTTTTGCAACTTTTTTTCGTACAAAACGNGTGCAATCTATCGTATCTTCTGCAATTAATATTATTTTTTTCGCATTAATTTGATTTAGCATTGCTGCATTAAGAACATCACACATGTGACAAGTAGGCAATAAACATAGGGTATCCGACGGTAACTCATTAATAAAATTACATAATTCGTTCAATTTAGATTTTGTAGATACACCTTTAAACGATAGTATTCTAGTTTGAAGGATTTTACAATCAGACTCAGTCACTAATCCAATACGAATTTTTGATACTATCTCGTAATAAGATTCATCTTCTTTTTGTCGCATAATGATTGTTAATTCATCGTAATCAAACAATGTAGTCCACAAGTTAATGACTTCTATCGAACCGAGATACTTAGCAACTTTTTCTTTTGATAAACGCACAAAAGCAGCATCATCGTGTACAGGTGGTAATTGAAGCAAATCCCCAAATAGAAGGATGTGGTTTCCACCGAACCAACCATCATCAGTATCAGTAGTGTCAAATACTTGAGACAATCAAAGATGAATGTACATTAAAGTCAAATTAGATATCATTAGATATCATGACACTTCATCAATTACAATAAGAATAACATCTTGCAAATCTGCTCGTAAAACTTTTAATACGTGATCAGATAATTGTTTATATTTAGGAATAACACCATGTTCAACAGGTAATTGGAATAGTCTATGAACTGTCAAGTCGTCAACGTTAAACGCTGCAATACCAGTAGGAGCTGCTATAGCAGTATCTTTGTTGAGATATTGTTTTATCCAATATTTAACAGTTTTAATTAAGAAACTTTTTCCTGTACCACCTTCTCCACTAACGTATAATCGTAATGGTGATTTATCTGTTTTTACGGTATTAACAACT